TTAAAAAAAAAATAAATATCTACTAAACTAAAACTTTGGGACAAATTTGTTCTTGGACCTTAATAAAAGACTATTTGCCCTCTTTAAAATAATATTTATTATAACAAAATTTTTATTAGCACATTCAAGCTGTAATAATGTAATTATTTTAAATAGAACACCCTGTATTTTGTTAGTCCATCGCGTGGCAAATTTACTTAGCTTTCAAACTATACTAGAATTTTCTATACCTATCTCTTTTCATTTTTGAAATATTTAAAGATTTTCTAATTTGTAAGCTTTAACAATAATTATTATAATCAAGAATATTGTAGTTATGCACAATATATCAACAAAATCCGTCGATATACCTACCCAAGATACTAAGATATCAATAAAATTTAATTTATTTCTTCACTAAAGGTATTTTATTGTTTTAGTTGAATTTGGCCTACATATGACACTGAATAATATTCTTATTTTAAATGACACACTCGGTATGCTTTATCTTATAATGAAAGATATTTAAATAAATTAGTTTTCGTTCCATGTATACTTTTGAAAAATTACTACAACAGATTAGAGCTAGCGGAAATGTAGAATATAAAAAAATAATATCCAGCCTCAACTTGTTACAGACGATAATAATAACGAATTTAGGGTTATTGACTTAATTAAAAAAACCCACACACAAGTCATCGAGCCATTAGTGGAGAAACTGGTATAATTAAGAGCAGTATTGGACGAATAATACAAAAACACAAATGCCATCCCTATAAAGAACAGTTGCATCAAGACCTGTATCAAACGTATTTTCAACAAGGAATTGATTTTTTATGGGTTATGTATAAAATAGCATCCGATGAAGATTTGTTTGTACATAATAATGTACTTGTTAGTTACTATCTATCTATCTAATTAGCCTTCTTCGGTCCATCTTTGGACATAGGCCTCCCTAGAGCCTACGTGCTTCTTGATATCATCTGCCCATCTCATTTGGGGCCTTCCTCTGCTTCGTTTATATTCCCACGGTCTCCAACTTATAAGAATTTTGTTCCATCGGTCTTCTTTTTGTCTTATATTGTGTCCGGCAAATCTTAATTTCAATTTTGCAACTTCTTGTCTAACATCCCTCACTTTTGTTTTCTCTCTTATCCACTCGTTTCGATTTTTATCCATTAGTTTTATGTGCAACATTTGTCTTTCCATTACTCTTTGGGTTTTTATGATTTTGTCCATGTTTGCTTTTGTAAATGTCCGCGTTTGGGAACCATAAGTAAGAACAGGGAGTACGCATTGATTGTATACTTTGGTCTTAAGATGCTGTGGATATCTTTTGTTTTTAAGAATGTAGCTTAGTTTGCCAAATGCCGCCCATACCAGTCTAACTCGTCTCTTTATCTATACAACAACACCAAGAATAGCAGCGGCACTAAAGAGAGAACTGAGAGACGACAGTTCAAAGACGGTAATAGCTAAATTGGCGAAGAAAAGACAAGGACATAAAGATGCAGGGGTTTATGCATCTGAAGTTGAAGAATTAGCAGAACAGCTAAATGTTGCATACATAGCGGAAGGAATGCCATTGAATCTAGCGAAAAAATATACAATGGAAACTGTAGTTGCAACAATGAGACACTAAGTCAACACAGAAAAAGCTAAATTAATATTGGAAGCATGTAACTTCACAACCACGCACGAAGTAATGTCCAAATTTTTACCGATCGACGCGACAGAACATAGAATACAAGGAAGAGTGTTAAATTACGGGAACAAATACGATTTTAATATAAGGAAAGAAGGTAAGAATGATATGGATATTATAAAATAATTTCGAAGGAAGAAAAGAATATAAGAACTAAAATTATAGAAATATAAGTAAATATGAAAGACATGATACGAGGATATATCGTAATAGATTTAATAGAAACAGAGGAGAATGGCAATTACAACGAAGAAGAAAGAATAATCATTGGACACAGATGAGATGCCATAGAAATAAAAGCACAGCGGGAGCATATTTCGCAATGCATGCTAATACGAATCCAGTGCCTGAAGTAGATTTTTTTCCCAGGAATGTAGGCAAAGTGCATATAGTTCGGCCTAAAGGGTTAAAACCTAAGTCAAGCAGGAGGCTTCTAAGAGGATAAGCTAGAGTGGTACTTGAAATCCCAACCCGCTAAGAGACCTGCGGCTCCAGCACGACAATACAGTAAATACAGGATGGATTAAAATTTCGAAAAGAATTAGGAATTATGATTTTTTTAATAAAGTAAAGGGAAAAATTATTGAAAAAGAAGGTTGTCACAATGAAGAACGATTCGCTACAATTATTGTATTTATACGCAAGAAAAGAAAAGATGTTAAGTAAATTGCGGAAAAATGATGAATCAGATTAATTTGAAAAGTATATGTCAATATTATTACATATTTAGCAAAATTAGTTTAGAGATGGAGCCAAAAAACAGAAGAAACAGTTACAATAATGGAGAAACAAGAAGTTGCAATTAAGATTATGTTACCTATAGGAATCATAAATGTAAATAATCCAGAAATATAAATTAGAAGTTTTATTCCGAAGATTCAAAACTAGGGAAAATAGATATATTATTTATGGATGAAACAAAGCAAAGAGTAAAACAGAGTCGAACGACAATCAAGCACAGTAAAAACCATTAATATTTGAAAAAAAAAAGGCCCAGAGAAAAAAAGAGAATCAAGAGCACGGTCGAAGTTAGTGTTGTCATCCGTCAAGTGGGTACTCTCTATTATTGTACTTAGAGAACTAATAAAGGAATTGAGTATCTAGTAAGTTCGAGTAATTAACCACCTGTAGAGGTAAACCTGCAGGGGTAAACTACCTCTTATGTTCCACTATATGGAACTCTTGATGGAATATGATGACTCCATAAACGTTATAAGAATATATACAACATTATTATAAGCTGAGGTAGAGAATGCTTTCTAAAAGGCTTACATCTAGCTAAATATAAAAAGGTGTTTTAACAAGTTTATTCTAACTGTAGCATGATATTTCTCCTTTAAGTATGGAATATTTAAATATATAAAAATGTATAAGAATTTATTTGATACGCAACCGTGATCTGAAGTTTGTCTGGCTAATACGTTACAGAAACCTGAAGTTTGTTCACCCGAGTGTGATAAGAGAAGTCATCTGGGGATAATATTAACTACGTAGCTATCGAGTTGGACCTGTTTTTAAGCGCGTTTTAAGTTAAATAAGTTCCCAATAAAGAGGGAAATCTGGATTTGTTGCGATTAAAAATTCGATGAGTTTTGGTTAGAAGGAAGTGAGTTAAGCTCAAAATGCCATGTGGCAGTCTTTGTAAAATGAATTAATCATAGTTTTGTAAGTTGTATTCCGTGACAGAGTGATATGATAACAGCGTCCATTAGGGCTAGGCAAACCGACATGGTTTTAAGGAAAAAAAAAAGGATCAACTTCGCTGTTGGCTTCCCACCATTCATTTACCGCATCTTTTTGCTCAAGCTCTTTCGGCACTCTACTCTTAAAGATTATTGGCAAATCTTTATCGTTTAACTTCCACCACTTTGCTTTCTGGTGTCCTACTTGCTTTCTTTTCCGCCTCACCTTTATCTCCGTATACACTATCACCGGTCAGTATTGACTGGCTACACACCCACCCTTTATCACTTTACAGTTGGTAACCTCTTTTAACTGACTTGTTCTACACATCACAAAATCTATCTGACGTTTATTCCCCCGCTCCTATAGGTAATATACTGGTCTTTAGTCGTCATAAAGAATGTATTAATGAAAGTCAAATCCTACGGCATTGCAAAGTCAATCACACTATTTCCTTCATGATTTCTTATTTCCATGCACAAACCTTCATGAAACCTTTCTATTTCCGCTTCTTCTCTACCCATATATCCTTTTAAATCACCTCCAATATCCCTATCCTTAACCCATAATAAATAAAATTAAATGTACCCCAAAAATCTAAACTTTGCGCACAGAAGCAAACAGCTTCTGTATCAAATCAAAATCTAATACCGTCATTTTGTTTTGTTTATTTACTTCATTTGGAGTACCAGAAATCGAATTCACTACGAATATAGGCCATGATTAACGGCATTTGGAGTGCAATTTTTAGACTCCCTTGCCGATGCATTCATCAAGCTGTTTGCTTCGCAAGTCTAGGGGGCACGGCGGCTTATATTTGAATTCGATTTCGCCAGGTAGAAATCGTATGATTTCTCTTTTTGTTCTTAGATGGCGTAGTTACGTCCGTAAATAGTTATTTTTAATAACTATAATCTACGACGGGAAAATATTTTGGTTTGATATGGAGTAGTAACTATACCGTACTGAGGAGATCTAAAGAGATCGAAATACGTATATGCGGCTTGTTGCTGCTTTGTATCAAATCAAAATCTAATACCGTCATTTTGTTAGGTTCAATTTATTTTGGGAAGGACCCCTATTGAATATGGAGTCAACACTTCTTCTTCTTCTTATAATATAAAATAAAATTCATAGAGTCTACTAAAGTTAGTACATAGTAAAAGCAAGAACTCTATTTGAATTTCAGGTCAATAAGTTTCATTCTTCTTCTTTCCAAATTATTATTTGTTTTCTTATTCTTGAAACACAAGTTTTCTTGTAACTTAGTACATAAAATATCCTTGAGTAAGAAAGAACTCTATTAAATACTGGGTCATGTCTTTTCCTTCTTCTTTTTATACGCTTATGCCTTTTTTAAACAAAAACGAAAAAAACAGCAAATTAAAGTTTTTTGATTTATTTTCATTCAAGATTCTGCTGTTTTTACCCTGAGGTATTGATTTGATACAATAGAAATAAAAATAATAAAAAAACAATGTTTTTGCACCTTAAAAGCAATAAAAGCAGCTTTAAAAAAATCATAACCCCCAGTTTGGAGTTGCAAACACTTGGAGGTTAGTCCAGGCATTGCCCCTCATAATGCTGTCTACATAGCAATCAGATCAATTTTTGTAGTTTATTTTTTTTTATTAAAATTATGGTTTATAAAAAATACAGTAACTAAAAAATAATACAATAGATACAACAATAACTATTCCAAATTCCACAGTGTGGGAATGGAATGAAGATAGGAGCACAGCTTATTGTGACTTTTAGCTGCAAATTTTTCATTGGAAAAATGAATATACTCATCTGCTGTTACACCTTTTCCTGTAGAATCACCATGTACCTGAAACATTAACTCAATTGTAATAATAATGCAGAATGCTTTGTTAAGTTACATCATACATTTTACTTTGTTAATCTAGATTTTTTAACTAAATTATTTTAAATAAAGGTAGTATTTGTAAAACTAAACGCCCACATGAGCCATAATTATCTCCCAATCTCCTGGTACCTGGGAGAAATTACGTCCTAGAACCATTTTCCTAACTAATTACCAAAGTTTATCTTCCCATATCCTACACTGATGTTGGGCAGCAGCAACATCAGTACCAAGATAGAGTCTAAAGGAAATGATCCTTGATCAGTCTATTATTGGATACTAGAAGTTTTAATGGCTTTTAGGCTGCGATAGAGAAAGCAACGGGAAACTACTCCAATGCTGTTCTCTAGTATATTCATCATGAGAATTGAAAGAAAACATAAGGCCCTCAGTAACCGCCGTACTTTTGATAGTTTGAGGGTGCTAAGAATCCCCAAGAGAAATTTAAAAATTGAAACTTGGAGTCTTTTAACTACATAATTTAGAAAAAAAAATGTCCAGACTGAAAATCGATATTCTCGGAATTAGTGAGGTGAGATGACCGGGCAATGCTAAATGCCCCAAAAGCAATGGGATGCTATACTATACTGGAAGCGACAATTAGCAGACAGAGCAGCAGACATAGATCAATTACTAGCTTTATAGATCAACCTCTATGAGAAAGAGTAATGATGTTACAACTTCATACCCCAAAAGTTAAAATGAATGTAGTACAAGTCTATGCAACTACAACTCAGAGCGAAGAGAAAGACATTAAAGAATTGTACGGTCATATTAAACAAATATTAAACATTATTAAAAAAGATGAAATACTTACTATAATGGGTGATTTAAATACCAAAGTAGGCAAAGGGAATGCGAAAAACCTTTTAAAACTATGTGAATATGTAAGTGTTCAATCTTCCATACCAAGACTTTTATAAAAGCTTGGACCTTAAAGATGAAGATGGATAAGACACGTCTGATACAGACAGTAATGAAGAGGATTAATTGGTAATAATAGTAGTTGGTGTATCAGATAAAAAATTTACATAGTTGTTAAAAAATATTTAAAAAGGATACAAAGGTCGTTTAATAAGTCGTTAAAAAATCCAAGAGTTTGTTGCATCGAGAATGGTTAGTTTTTAGTAAACTGATAAATAAAAAAAAGAAATATCTCAGATAATTGTTTTTCTATCTTTTCTAAGAATTTTTTTAACTACCCTTGTATTATTATTTTATTAATGAAATTTTTTATGTTTTCTTATTAAATTGTTTTTTTTTTTTCATTCCATTTAATTTTTCTTTTTTTAATCTCATCTTGATACTTTGTAAAGACTTTTCAAAGCGCCTATTTACATGGCCTACTGAAAATAAAATATTTTGACTTTTACAATATACCTATGTTAGTCTGGTTCCTAATTTTGTATATCGATTGTCGTTTTTCTTTATCTTACAGTAGACTCCTTCTATAACGAGAACTAAATGGCAGACTAATTACCTCGTTATAAGCCAATCTTGTTGTATTAAACAACAATAATACTGTGTAATATAAGATGCTAAATATTGTTTGAATGGCGTTTTTGAAATAAAGTTGTTTACTTTTATTGTCAATGAAATACATTAAAACAAAAAAGAGTTTTTTAATTTTATTGTCAATGATTATGTTAAAACAAAAATTCTGTATTCTGTAAATCTGTATAAAGCATATTTTCAAAGATAACAGAAACTATTAGATCTGCAATTGAAACAAGTCTGTCATTTTTGACTGCTTTAAATTGTCCAATATTCTATCTATCATATTTTCTAAAGATGTGAAACAGTTGTATCCAATCTGCAATAAATGGTCAAGACATAGCTAATTTATTTATGAACTTCTTCCAAACTGTGTATTCACCAAATAACAACAACCTTTACATACCTATCCATCCATTAAATACCAACTTTAGTACAAATATTTGTCCTTCTAAGATTACCATGACTGACATTTTTAATGGCAAAAATAAGCTGCCCAATAAGCTTACTGCTGGTCCAGATGGTGTGCCCTTAATTTTTTATTAAAAAGTGTGTCTGTACCCTTGTAATATCATTATATAATGTCTTATAGCAAAGCAACTTTCTTGGTTATGTAATATCTCAATCACAACATGGTTTTCATAGCAAAAAATCCACTGCAACAAATTTGTTTTGCTATCAATCTGATATATTATTTCATATGGAAGGTAAAAGGTAGATCACCAAATACTTTTGGGCAAATGAATTAATGTAGGCTTTCATGGCAGGTTTGTTAAATGGATTAAAAACTCTACATCTGGGAGAAGTCAAAGAGTCAAGATAAGTTGTCATCTATCTGACAGTATCACAGTAACATCTGGAGTTAATCAAGGAGGCCACACTTCTACACTTCTTTTTAATATCTTTGTTAATGACATCACTTCCTGTTTCCTAAATAGCAAATGTCTAATGTTGGCAGATGACTTGAAATTTTGGAAAGTTATAGACAGTTTAAAAGATCAAGCATTGCTACAAGATGACTTGTAGCAGACTACAAAATTGGTGCAATCAGAACAAACTCTACTTAAATATAAAAAAATGTTTTATTTTTTTTTTCTCGTAAAGTCAATAGAATTAGAAAAGTCTATACTATTAATAATCAGCCACTGAATTATGTTTCTTCTATTCGGGATTTAGGTGTTATTTTCGATGAGAAGCTTACTTTCTGTGACCACATAAACTCTATTTCAATAAAGGCATCTAAACTTCTTGGTTTCGTTACTAGGAATTGCAAGTATTTCTCCATTAATTCAACAAGATTAGTGTATTGTTGCTTAAAACTATTTTGGAATACTGTTCAGTTATTTGGTCACCCTATTTTCAGAACAATATTGATACCATAGAAAGAGTCCAGCATAAATTTTTGAGATATTGTGCTTACCACATTCCACACTACTATTGAAAATCATGATTATTTCCATATTGAACAACAATTATCTTTACCCTCACTCAAGAACCGTCGTGACATGTCAGGAGCTATATTTATATATAAGATCATACATGGATTTATTGATTGTCCAAACCTGTTAAGCCAGATTAACTTTAATGTTCCCCATCAAGCTCTATGGTACCACAATGTTTTCAATATTCCTTTCCACAGAACAACCTATGGTATTCACAACCCATTGGATAGATACATGGGGCTATTAAATGATCGCGATTTTGATATTTTCAATATAACTTTAACTCAGTTAAAAAGATCTCTTGCTTTGTGATATGTATATTGGGATTGTTGAATTTTGTTCTTGTTATACTTTGTTTTTTTTTAGTATGTAAGATTTTGTCTCATTTTTTTAAACTTTTTAATATTGATTTTATATTATAAGTAATTTCAAGTTTTGAATCCTAACTGTGATATTGTATACTGTAATTTAAACTATTAATGGGGTTATCCCATGTATTATATAAATAAATAAGTAAATAAAATAACGAGTTCTAACACACATATGTTTTGAAGTAACAACTTAACCATGAATTATTTTAATAAAATAAATAGATATAATATAAAATCATGTATACTCCAAATTTAGTCTTCAAAAAACAATAAATTCATACTTAAAATTTGCAAAAACTAATTATTTTGTCACACTAAATCTTTGAGCACTTATTTCTCAGGATATTACATTTTGGGACTGAGCCCATTGACCTCTATGGTGATGATATTAACCGTAAAATCAAATCAACGATCTATAAGAGCAGTATAAGACCAATAATGACATAAGCATCAGAAATAACACCCAACACAGCCAAAACACAGAGAATGCTGGAAACAGCAGAACTGAGAGTAATCAGAAGAATTACAGGAAGCACACTAAGAGACAGAATAAGTAGTGATGGGATCAGAACAAAACATAATGTACAGGGTATAAATGAATGGACAATAAATAGAAAAAAGGAATGGAACAATCATATCAGTAGAATGGCAGACACAAGAGTCATTAAAATAGTAAGAGACACATCACCACATGATAGAGGAAGTATTGGCTGACTGTGTAAGAGATGGGGTGACAATCTTCAATAGAGGCAACAACCCGCCAATGAACAAGCAAAATTGCTTATCTAAAGGAAGAAACTGAAGAAGAAGGACTATAATGCAACCAGATTTTGATAATTGTGGTTTGATCCTATATCTTTTAATATGAATCAAATTTTTCAATTGAAAAAGATCCAAAATCATGGAATGCAGGTAATTTTACATTCTAAGACACCAATTTTAACTATGCTGAATAATTTGGAGTAGTTATTTGTTAAGCAAGACCTTATATTATGAGCATTGTTAATTCAATGATTTTTATATGCAAGATAGTAAATTAAATTCTTTAGAATATAAACAAACATTAATAAATACCTCCACATAACCTTCAAGATGTTGATCAATTGGTTTTTTCATTGTAATTCGTACAGTCACATTATCTGTTGTTTTAATTTCAAACCACATTCCATTATAAGACTTTTCTGTAACAAAGCCTGTAATTGAAACTTTCTTGTTGATGAACATGGGAAGTTGGTTACCCCGTACGATATTTAAATACATCTTCTAAAAATGAAGAATAACTATTTATTCAAACTGTATTTTATGGTATTTTACAATCTTCCTAATTGTACTTACAGAACTTTTAAATAAAGAACAACAACGAACTATGTAAAATTAATGATTAATATCTAATGGGTATTTGAAATTGGCCTGCCGTATTATTTTGACGGATGCTTTCCCGCTCTCCGTCTAATAGACAATTGACAAATAAGCAGACTCGATTCATTTATGAGGATAGGCACAAACTTCGAAGATGTAAGTTTCTTTTAATTCAAATTAAACTTTGCATCCACAATTTTAGACTATTATACCCAAAAATAGGACCAGTTTCAGAATACTTGTCTTCCAAAAGTTTATTTTTGCTACCAACAATTTTTCGAATATGTTGTTCAGAACTCAGTATCAGTTTTATCACAGAATACACCATTCTGTGGTTTTATCATGCGAGGTTAAAGCTGGATTTATAGTTTGACGTACTGTAGACGTAGACGCACTGGAGACGTAAGAAACGGACTGTAAATATTTTTTCAATTTATAAATGGACGTAGTGGAATTTTTGCGCATGAGTAAAGACAAGAATTGGTGACCCACAACATTCAATATAACCTATAAATTATACAATTATAGGAATCAGAATTCATAATAAACAAAGGGTGTGTGTTTATACTATTGTTTATTATAATATTTTTTTTATCCTTTTTGCGTGTTAGAATGGATTGTGAAATATACGAAGGTATGCTCCTTGGCGCTGTAGGATTGCTGCTGTGCTGTGTGCAGTAGCATTGCAAAAAACTAGAAGGACAATAATAAGGCGACCAAAACGTTATAAAACAAGACCAATAAACCGTAATAGAAAAATAGAGAATGCTTATAATTATTTTTTAAAGATGAAGACAAAAGATCCAGATCAATTTTTGGCATATTTCAATATTGGTGCAATGAACATAACCCATTCATTCTTTTGATTGGTCAGACGTAAGAAACGCACTGTAAAAGTTGAAAGTTGACCAACTCTTCCGTTACAGTGCGTTTCGCTTACGTCCCGTCTTGCGTTTACGTTCATTTATAAATAGCAGTACACAAAAGTCTATGTTGATCTTTTTCCAGTGCGTCTGCGTCTACAGTCCGTCAAACTATAAATCCAGCATAACGTTCATTTTGATTCGGTTTACCGACTCTATAAAATGTTACAAGCCTTGAAGCCTTTCATGACATCTGATGACTTCCAGGACTAAATTTATTTTATTCTTATGATCTTTTACTTTGTGTGTCTTCTGTAAGCTCAGGGACGCCCCTATATAAAAAAATTGGAATTTAGCGCCAAGTATTAAACGAAACAGCTACACACATGAGTGGCAACGTCATTGAATTCACCACATAGTAGCACACGTGTTTGTTGGTAGTTACATTTGAAGTTATACAAAGAGCAGGTAAGTGTTTTTTGTAAGTCTTGTTAATCTCGTACCGCTTACTAGATTTTAATTTTTATTGAATATTTTCGGTTATGATACCATTTATGTTTTTTCGTTATAGTTTGCTAGTAATTAAAAGGTGCGCACTTGCCTCAGAGATTTATCACATGTGGCAAGTGAATTTTGTGTGTAGGGGCAAGTGCGTCCTTACCTTAACGCACTTGCCCCGGCATAAAATCTTAATACAATTTTTTAATTCTTAGGTAGAGATAGTCCGAAATTACGTCCGAAAGACGGAGAGAGGTTCGCAATATACAGCAGAAGCCCTTAACGGGTATAAGAAATCAGAATTTCACTGTCAAGGGAGCATCGCGCACATACAATATTCCTGTGACAATATTACGGGATCACTTGAGTGGAAGAAGAGGCGCGAAGGGATCAGGACAAGGTCGATCTACCGACATTCCATTGGCAGAAGAAAAGCGATTGGCAGAAGGTCTTCGCACGATGCAGCAATGGGGATTCGGTTTGTCCCATAAAGAAGTTTTAGAATTAACCCAACAGTTCGTCCAATCAAACAACTTAAAAACTCAATTTAAAGATAGACCAGGTGAAGACTGGTTTTTAAATTTTAAAAGAAGACATCGGCTGTCAATAAAGAAACCGGAAATAGTTGAGTTTGCAAGGAAGAAAGCCATGAATCCTTTTGTTGTTAAAGATTATATTAACAAACCTGAGATAATCTACAATATAAATGAAACTGGATTTTCGAGTGACCCCTATAAAACAAAAGTTGTTGGGAAGCCATGCACAAGAAACACCAATGGACCAGGAAGGGAGAACACTACAGTGGTGATGGGAGCAAGCGCTAGTGGCTAAAAAATTCCTCCATTAATCGTTTTTAAAGGCAAAAATATCTGACATGATGCCTTCCCTGGTTTTGCTTATACCGCTACTAAAAATTGCTGGATTGAAGCTATTGTATTTCGCAACTATTTTGAGAGTACTTTTATAAAAAAAAAAACATTGGTCCTGATCGGCGTATACTAGTTATCTACAACGGACATTCAACCCACATCACGGCAGATGTGGTCAATTACGCGGAAAGATCAGAAGGAATCACCATCCTCAAACTACCGACTTTTACAGGTCACATTCTCCAGCTATTGGATTTAGCGGTGTTCAAAGCTTTAAAATCAATGTGGGACGAAGAACTTGTGAAGTGGCAGTGACAGTTTTCTGGTCGGAGACTTCCCAAAAAAGTTTTTTCTCAGCTGATTGGGAAAATATATATTCTCCGCCTGAATTTTCTGTGGGAGATTGGGTTCTGGTGGGTTTCAAAAGCCAAAGTCGGGACAGAAATGACATTTTTTATATAGATCACGTGATTTCTCTCACTGAAAGTGATACCCAGGTGAAGTTCCTGAGGAAAAAAACAAAGTGCTTTGTTTTTCCTCAGCTAGAAGATATATCCTTGTGACAAAAGAGGATATCCTTAAAATATTACCAGCTCCACATGTTAGGAGAGGAATGCATAATTTTAATATTAAGTTTCTGCAAGATATATAACATAAATTAAGATAAACTGTACAATTTTTGCATTTAAATAAAGTACTTTCTCATTTTTTGGTGTGCGATTAGACCCTTCTGAAGTTATTTTGTTTTCAAAATTATGAAAATAAAAAAAAATTTAGAACTGTGTTCAGAAAAGCCTAGTAAATAAGTGCACTTACCCCGTAATTCAACGCAAGGAAACTATATAAAACTATGCCCGGGAGACGCACTTGCCCCAAACTGACGGGGCAAATGCGCTACTGTGATATATAAGAGAAAAAAAATTATAATTAATAATCGTGAAAATCCACAGATTTGGAATCTTCCCTAAATAAAGATCATTGTCAAAGTACTTGGTGCACTTATTCCCGATTTGGCAGAGATAACCCAATTGAAGCATTGATACAATTAAAACCAAATACGAATAAAAGGGGGCGCACTTCCCCTACCTTACACTATTATTATTTAATCGATGCGCGTGATAACTTAAAAATAAAATAGAAACACAATAATATCCCAAAAACAAAATAAATTCATTGAGACAATACTGTAACAACTACGAAATTTGAAATAAATCTGTTATTTTCGATTAAAAGACAATGAACTAATATTCATTAGCAAATAAAGAAAAAATTGACACTTTAAAATAAAATTCTGGTTAAAAATCAATAACAGTAACTATTATACACCTTAGCTAGAAAAAACAAAATCTTTAACCTTCAGATTGTCTAAAAACTACTGTTTGGAGATGTTACATTATTTCGCGACGTGTGCGATATGTACTATTGTATACTAAGAATCAATAGCCTAAATACGACCGCTTTGATCGTAGTCTGACAAAACAATGAATTTTTAGAGTAAAGTGTGTGCAACAAGGATAATTTCAGTAGTAAGTATGAAACAAAAAATACATTTTTTGTTTAGGGTTTAGGATAAATAAAACACAACTCCGTTAAAATTATTTATTGTATGATATGCAAGTGATAGAATCACGTAACATACACAAGTAAATAAAAAATGTTTATATCTAGGTATTTTGGGCCCTAACTATTCATTTTCACATGAACATTTTTATATCTACTTTATTTGACAACATATTTTATCAAGTATTATCGAATGCTTTAGAAGAATAGAATAGTGGCGCCATTTTGATATAAAAATTGTCCTGAATTTGAACACATAATTTTTAATTAACTATCTAGCACGTTTATGTATCAAACTTCAAATCAGCTTAATCCGCACCAATCAAGAATTGCATGCCATAGTCATATATCAAAATGACGTAGGGGGCAAAATCCAAAAAGTATAAAAATGTAGACATCTTTCTTAAATTTATGATACTATTTTTTAGTACTTCTAGAATTACAGTACTAGTTTTATTCGGTAATTAATGCAGACCATCTAGGAACACTTTTAACAAATTTTAAAGCTCACTATAAAGATAATTGGTCCTGTTTAAAAAGTATAAAAATATCTAATCTCCAGAAAACAACTCATTGAAAAAATTTTAGTTGGCATTTAGTTAGAAGTCTTTTGTTATATACATCTTTATAATTTCATCTAAAATAGCAGATCGTAGATTTTTTAAATTTCTACACATACATAATTTTACATATATTAACATTTTTAGTATGAATAACTTCGTTATACATAATTTTTTTCTCATCGCCAGAGTCCCTACACTACAGTAAATAAACACAATGATTCTTTACACACATACAATTCAACGTACAACATTAACATTTCGAAGTGCGTGCTTCTCATGAAATAAGATATGAACATACCAGACAAAAAAATTAGGTACTATAAAAAATTAGGTACTTATACATATAAAAACTGTTCTCATATTATTTACGTTAATATAATTTACGACTTCGTCTTCATTAACAATACTGTAGATTGATTTAAAATACACCAGATCACCTAGTAACAACTGTTGAATCTGAAAGTTAATTTCGTTACATCAACATTTTTCGCCGCCAAAATTGCGCGCTCACTGAGCCAATTATGATTCAAATAATTATTCAGTATAGCCTGAACGACACTTAAAATTAATTTATGTTTGGTCTCAACAAAATTGCAGAAATTATCTAGAAGTTTAATGCATTGTGTATTTGGATGCAGTTTTATTTTACCGTTTCCAATATTTTGCAAATTTCGACATTTCGACATAAAAACGATTGTGGTAAACATGCATTAATCTGGT